GGGTCCCAATCCCTTTATAACCGCAAGAACCATCGAAATTTAGTTGTTCTTTGTTCTAGGGCCCCAAATCTCCCCTGGATAGACCCCATGCAGCCAAAACCCCATAAAGCTTACACCCTCCCAAACCCGCTGCTCAGCGAGCACGACACGCCTGCAGACCGACAGCAGCAACGCAACAAGGGAAGCTCACGCCTCAATTCCTTATCGTCCGTCTCGAAGTTGTTGTCTGTGTTGCCATATCTGCAGATAGCAGATAGGCTCCGTGAAAGCTTCGCAAAAGAGGTGCGAAGCCATGTCCCATGTTAGGAATTTTTGAACAACCACCATCCACCATATGGGTGCTGAGTATACTGCTCTCAGAACATTTCCATCAGCCTCAAACCTGAATAAACCCGTTTGAACCCGGCGCCACATCTCGAAGTTTCGAAAGCTTTCAGAATTGGGTGTAGGGTGTAGTTTAGGGTTTTGTCCACCAGAATTCCAAGCCCTTGCTGGAAGCTTCGGGAAGGTTTGCCATCTCATGACAAAGTTTGCTAAGCCCCTCAACCAATGAACCCTAAACCCTAAACCCCTAACCCTGTGGACCCTAACGACCCTAAAATCCCTGAAGCTTCCCACCATAGACTGTAAACCCCTAGGCCTTTTGACCCTAACTAGAAATAAGCTCTAAACCCTAAGTCTTGAACCCACATAAACCTTAAACCCAAAATCCTGAAAACCGGTTGTCCCCGAGGTAAACCTTGTTGTCCCCGAGGTCAGCCCTGTTGTCCTCGCGGTAAACCCTGCCATCCCCAAGGTGCGACCTTTGTCGGAAAGCCGTGGAGAGGGACGATCGCCTGTGGACATGTGGCAACGGTGCGAACACCATCCTGCACGATGCTGGGCCTGCAATTTCAGGGTTTGCACTTTGTGGTACTTTACTGTAACTTTAGATCCTTACCTTTTTTGGGCTTATTGGGTTTCTTATTAAGGCAGCTAAAGTTTAATTTTTAGCTACCCTCCTGAGTGCAGCCAAGTACAGTTTAGGGTTTATGTACAGTTTAGGGTTTATATAGGGGAGGTGTTAGAGCATAGGGCGATGGGAGGTTTTGTCCATGGGGCTTTTGGGTTTGTAGGTTTCAGGGCTTGGGGTTTATGTGGAAGCATGTGGAAGAAGGGTTTATAGGGTTTACAGTTTATAGGGTGTAGGGCTTGTGGTGTTTCCGTTCGGTTTAGGTTCTCGGGTTAGAAGCTCTTTTGGTACCGTGACTCACATGATTTTTGGGAGTCAGGCTCGCGCATCGACCCGATTCATGAACAGGACTATGGTTCAGGGTTTAGGGTAAGGCTTCAAGGTTTAAGGTTTAGGGTTCAGGGTTTGGGGTTTAGGATTTAGGGTAATTAACCTGCTCGCAACCTAAGCCTTACAGAAAGGACCCTGAACCCTCAGCGAGCAAATCCCTCTGCCAAGGCGCAGTCTTACGACATTTGCCAGCAGTGCTTCGCGCTGGGGGAGGCCGCTCTAGGAACTCAGGGTTTAGGCAGGCTTTGGGGTTTAGGGTTTAGGGTTTAGGGTTTAGGGTTTAGGGTTTAGGGTTTGGGGTTTGGGGTTTGGGGTTTAGGGTTCAGGGTTCAGGGTTCAGGGCTTAGGGTTGGGTATCGCCCATATATTGCAGATAGGGGCGATCCCAAGCAGAGCTTTGCGTTCCAAGCCCTCAACCCTTCACCTCCTGCCCCCCCACAGATTCAACATGTGGGTCTTAGGATTGAGCCGCAAACTCTTGTAGTTAAGCCCTAAAGACCCTAAACTTCTGTACAAACCCTAAAACGGCCCTAAGCCCTAATGAACCCCAAATCCTGTAGTGGGTTTAGGGTTCAGAAAATCAGGTGCCCTTTTTGAGGCTTGAGGGTTTAGGTTTAAGGTCTTCATCATGGTTGGAGCGTGAAGGGGGTCTCCCTGTTGTGTGGGATGCCGCCGTATTCCCTCTGGTTCTTCGGAGGTTCGTTCCCATCACGAGCTCCAGAACCAAAAAGAGGGTGTCATCTCTGCTCCTCAGTGAACAGCGTGTGCGGTATCGTCCTTGGGCCTGTTCGCCTACCAAACCGATAGCCTAGGTTTTGACTGTGGAACCTGGCCACGCACCCCAAACACTTTCAGTCCTCACGCTGCCTCACGCCCTACAACCCCTAAACCCTAGAAAGTTTGGAGATGCTCGGATTGCTGGAAGGTAGGGGGATGTGGCGGGCACCAAAAGTCGTAAGTCTGAATTCCTAGGACCAAGAGTGGGCACTCCCTCAACCCTAAGCCCTGAACTAAATGCTAAAACCATCAACCCTGAACTCCCTAAATCCCAGACCCGAAGCCCCCAAACTCCCTAAACTCCCCAAATCCTAAACTTCCTAAACCCTTGTGAAAACCCTACACTCTAAACCCTAAACTCCCTAAACCCTAAACCCTAGTAAGAACCTTCCAACTCCGCTTGGGATCCAGGGCCGGCAGAGCTCTCCAAGCCCTGACTGAGACAGTTCGGAGAAATGGCCACACCTTCACACATTGTTTAGGGTTTAGGGTTTAGGGTTTAGGGTTCAGGGTTTAGGGTTTGGGTTTAGGGTTTAGGGTTTAGGGTTTAGGGTTTAGGGTTTAGGGTTTAGGGTGCAGGGTGTAGGATTTAGGGTTTGGGGTTTAGGGTTTAGGGTTGCGGCGCCCCTAAGCTTCGTACCTCTTGTTCCCTGCAAAAGGAGCTTTGTTTCAAGCTCAGAGGTCTACTTGAAGGTTCATGGGTACTTTGAGAAGTCGAGTTAGAAGTACCCTAACCAAAGTTCCATCCATAGTTTAGAACTCCACTCATATTTATAAGTACCCATGAACCTCCAAAGAAGAACTAGGAAGGCCGCTCACATGAAGCTGCAGCTTCTGCTACCTCGTTTCGGCGGCGGCTGGGTCGACAAAAGATGGCCAACCGAGTCCATCACCAGGGTTTAGGGTTTAGGGTTTAGGGTTTAGGGTTTAGGGTTTAGGGTTTAGGGTTTAGGGTTCCATGTTTCGGGGTTGACGAAAAGTAGGGACCCCCAACATGGACCCCCAACAAGGTACCCCTAATTTCGGAAACACCCATTTGAGGTGTAGGGCTTACGGGGTGTAATCCCCTAAACCCTAAACCCTAAACCCTCAACCCTAAACCCTAAACCCTAAACCCTAAACCCTAAACCCTAAACCCTAAACCTCATAAGTACCAGGTTCCTTGACAATCATGTTTGTTACTCCTCTGCTTCGGACGGAGAGTGTTCTTTCCTGGCTATGGGGCTTGAGCTCAACCCTAAACCCTAAACCCTAAACCCTAAATCCTGTCGTTACTACAAACCCCTCCTGCATGTGGCATACACTGGGCTCTCGGCTTCGAAACCGAGAGTGGCCCAAGAAAAGGGTTGAGGGTTTAGGGTGTAGGGTGCAGGATTTAGGGTTTAGGGTTTACGGGTTTAGGGTTTAAGGGCTTAAGGGTTTAAGGGTTTAAGGATTTAAGGGTTAAGGGTTTAGGGTTGCTCCTTCGATCCCGCAAGAGAGAGCTTCATGTCATCGCGTCGTTGTGAAGGGCCCTCCCCTCTTGTTTTCGTCGCTCTCCCTGGAAAGCAGGTAGGCCCTGTTCGCCTTTTTTAAGGATTTCGGTTCGCTTATAAGCCCCTTTAAGGTACTGGGCTACCAAGCCAGGCAGTGCTTTGTGGAAGTCATCCTATGCCTTAATCAATCCCTACTTGGAGGTTCGTGGGTACTTTTATAAGTAGGTTTATAAGTAGGGTATCTCTGGTTGTAACCTTAGTTCGGGTAGTTCTCACACTAGTGACAAGCACCCATGAACCTCCAAGTACACCCTACACGCGAACAAATCCAGAGGTCTCGAGGTTCTAGGTCGTGTTAGTGGCCGTGCCGCCTGGGGGCTTCGACGGGTAGATGCTGACGTTTTACAAGAGTTCCTAGGCAGGCCCTTTGGTTATTTTTCTGCTTTCACTTATTAGGGCTCAAGGGGATCCTATCTAGGAATTACGCCTCCCGAGCGTTTTAACGGGGCAAACCTCAGTAGCCCGGCGAAGCATCACCATGCCCTGATCCTGTGCCCGAAGCCTCCTACTTTCGCCCAGGAACTGGAAGAAAACCGAATTCCCCGTCAAAAAGCCCTACGAAGCCCGTTTACAGGCCCTAAACCCTCTCAGCCCCCGAGACTCTAATCCTGACAAGCCGCAAAAGCCCTCTGAGCTTCGTAACCTTTATAGGCTCTATAAACCCTATAAGCCCTCTAAGCCTCAAGCCCTACACTCTACACCCCCCTAAGCCCTGCAAGCCCCCTAACCCCGAACCCTACACCGTACAAGCCCTTGAAACGCTGCAAGCCCCAGACCCTATGCCGGGTAGGCCCTTGGGGTATTATATATTATCCCTGATTGGGTTTAAGAGGATCCTATTCAGGAATACCTTTTTGTTCAGAGGGTTTCCGGGGCCAAGTCTGAGACCCAAGCCCAGACTGCTGAGGTGCAAAGTGAGGTGAGTTTGCCGGATCTGTCAGAGGCTTACTGCGAGAAGGCCCGTGGGTCGTCTTGGGGGGGATACTTGGAGGTTCATGGGTACTTACCATCCCAACTATAAGTCTACTTATAGCCCACTTAGGGGACTTCGGGGGCTTATAAGTACAGTTCAATCGGGGTTACTAAGTACCCTGAACCTCCAAGTAGCCGCCTGGATATCCGGGGATTAGGGCTTAGGGTGTTAGGGTCTTTGAATCAAGCTCTCAGCCCTGTTTATCAAAGAATCTTATAACGGCTTTCATAGCCACAAAGCTACGAACACGATAGGCTCTCGGTTTTTATGGGAGAGTTTTGTGCATGGAAGAGGGGGAGGAACGTGTTCAGGGTTTAGGGCTTAGGGTTTAGGGAGTAGTGGGGAGTTTCAGGGAACCTTGGGTTACATACACCTAAACCATCCCTGAAGGATTCTATAGAACAATTAAGTTTGCAAGAACCTACATTAGACAAAGGCTCACGGGTAGTATTGTTCTTGGGTTTAGGGATGAGGCCCGAACTTGGGCGAGTATACTAAGAAGAGTTTAGGGTTTAGGGTTTAGGCCTGGTCTGCAAACTGTCTAACAGAACCACCACCGTGGAAAACTCACGTAGGAAGTACACTTGAACCTTGTATCACACTTGCATAAACCAGCAGAAACCCTACAAACGAACGAAACACCTGAGCCTTCTCCAAGCCGTAAACCCTGATACAGTATCGAGTTTGATGTCAGGGGTAGGGCCAATTTTTGTTGTCCCCCTTATACTAACCTTAATAGGGATTATACTAGGGAGTGCTACGATCCCTATTGAGGGTTAGCACAAGGGGGAACCTAAACCCTAACCCTGAACCCTAAACCCTGAACCCTAAACCCTAAACCCTGAACCCTAAACCCTAAACTTCCCAAACTTGTTAATCCCCAACCCCCAACAAGAGCCTGGGGCCCTGCCGCGCTACCAGGTCCTCTCGGTGGATGTTCCAGCTGCGCTAGAGCGAATGAGCCATAGCCCCGGGAACCCTGTGGTGTGGGGTTTGGGGTTTGGGGTTTAGGGTTTCTTGTAGGCTCATGGGTGCTTAGAAGTAGGATTGTTTGGGGGGTTTGGAGTTTTGGGAGGTTTCGGGGGTTTTGGGGAGTTTTTGGGGAGTTTTGGGGGTTTGAGGGTTTTGGGGGGTGTTTTTGGGGAGTGTAGAGCAGGGGGTTTACGGTTTATGGGGTTCAGGCTTGTGCCCATAAGATCCTTGCCACAGCAAGGGCGGCCCTGACCCCACGCCAACTCTGTTTTATCCGAATGGCGGACCCTACCGATACCCAATTCTTACGCAGCGGTTTGTAGGTTTTAGGGCTTGCCTTAAGAACCCCACCTGCAAAAAAGGCAGGCTCGGGGTTCTTCAGGTAGGGCTCAGGCTGTTCCCCCTTATACCAACAGTCCTTAGTCGGGATTCTATTCAGGGGTACGAAATTCCCTGTTAAGGATTGCTTGTACAAGGGGGAACATGATCAGGTAGCTTAGGATTCTACACTCTGCACCCTACACCGGAATCTCAGCCCTAGTGTCCCTGCCAAAGTGCAGCCACAAAATTCGGAACAGCGGTTCGCCGGACTCTCTCAATTCAGCTCAACTTTTTGTGGTTTAGGGTTTAGGGATACCAAGCTCCGTGGTATGCCAGGACCTCCCCATAAGGGGACCCGCAATTCAGAGAACCTCACCTTACGTGGACAGCCTTCCGGGCGTGAGGCCTTTGAAGGCTTGTGGGGTTTTGAGGGTGATGACAACCGGCTCTCGGCACGGAGTTTTTAGGGTTTAGGGTTTAGGGTTTAGGGTTTAGGGTTTAGGGTTTGTTGATGAAACCGGCTCTCGGCGGGGAGCCTTAAGCCCCGAAACCCCAGCCCCAAACTCTCACTCAACCCTGGACCCCTAAACCCCCCTTTTGAACCCCTAAACCCAAACCCCTAAACCCAAACCCTTACGCAACCCTACCCTAAACCCCAAAACTCCCCAAAACCCAAAGCCCCAAACCCTAAACCCCTAGACTTTGTCATAGCGGGGTGACATTTTACGGGTATTTAAACTCAATAAAGAATAGACATTTAGATGTTTAATACTATCTCAACAATGAACTGGTAGAGCTGAACTACCTTGAGGTTCCGACGCCTTCGCCAGCATCAAGGACATCTCTCCTGGGCAATGCATTGGTGTAGGGGCCTTCAGTTTGGGGTTTAGGGCTTAGGGTTAGCCATCAATGCGCCCTCCTCTATACTGCTTCTTGTCATCCTGTCCCCTAAGCCCCCAAATCTCGCAAGCCCTAAACCCGGAACAGTCCTGTAGCCCCCCTGTGTCACCCTTCAAGAGGTGATCTGTGGTACCTATCCTGTATCTCTGAAGTGAAGTATAGGGTCCCGATTCCCCAAAATGCCCTACTCAAGAACCACGAAGCTACACTTAACTCCCTAAACCCTAAACCCTAAACCCTAAACCCTAAACCCTAAACCCTAAACCCTAAACCCTAAACCCTAAACAACTCAGCAGTACTGCACTAGAAAACCCTAAGCCCTTGGTTAGAACCTTGGTTTTTTGGGTACTTATAACCCTAAACACTCAACCCTCAACCCTACAGGGTGGGGCCCCCTTACTATACTAACTGTAGTTAAGGGACTTATAACCTAACTTAGGGTCCTTATAACCCACTTTAGGGCCCTTATAACTCTACTTATAACTAGGGGGCCCCACCCTGTAAACCCAAGAGAACTCTTGGACCGGTGTGCCGCAGGAGTCCTACCGGCTCGCGCTGCTCCAGCCGCCGTTGTGGGGAACTTGGGGTAGCCACGGCTTCAGGAGTTTGCGTTTTAGGGTTTAGGGTTTAGGGGTTAGGGTTTAGGGTTTAGAGTTTAGGGTTTAGGGTTTTAGGGTTTAAGCTTTGAAGCGCCAACACAAGGTGGGAAAGGGAGCGATGGCAGGGGTTAGGCATCAGCC